TTATTTTCATAACCCTGCTCACAGAATACTACTTTGGAAAACAAGAAAAGGTGAAAAAATAGCTGCCTAAATAAGGAGCATTTTTTTGGCACACTATTTCACCACTACATGGCTTTTGATCTTTGTCACATTTCAGTCATCTTGTCCATGAAGGAATAAACTAATCAATCAGAAATTCCTAAGTCTCTCACCATTATACTGTTTGGTCTTTTTAGAAAAATTCATATTCCTATTTATATTTTTTTAATGTTAGAAGGGAGATAGTACCTTGGTAATATTATAATATTTGCTAAGCAAACTTTTCAATATAGTAATTATTCTCCCTTTGTTCTTGTCTAAATATTAGATTAAATAGAATTAAGCTAAGTTTTGCAGTGTGGTTAGCAGAGATTTTTTTTCTAACACCTTCCAGGTGAGTTTTCCTTCATTTTGCTCATCTGTTCTGAGAGAATGTTTTGCTTCCTAGTATGCATGAAATGTGTGAGGTACTAAACTCTTGTGCTATGGCAGAAGTACCCTGCAGAGTTGATGAGGAAGCTGCCTGAGAGGAAGTGAGTACTTAATTTTCTTATGTGTTTGTGTAATATTTTTCTTTCACGTAGGATACGCCTGATATTTGCATGCATTTGTAGCTTCCTTAAAAGTCATATTTAGCGACCAAGGGGAGAGTTGCACTTAAGACCCTCTGTGGCTGTTATGCTCAAGTGCCTCTCTTGGGTAGCCAGCCACACTTCCTTCAGCACTCAGGAGGGTGAAGCCTTACATTCAACCTTAGGGGTCGAATCTCCATTTCACAGCTTCATGTTTGTAACTGCACTGGCTTGAAAACACTGCACTCTTTGTGCACCTGGAAAAACTTAGAGGAGGAGAAAACTCTGAATTCAAGCATTTTCTTCTATTCCTTTACTGATCCCAGAAGGGTATTGCACTCCCAAAACAAAGGCAAGATTTTGAAATTCCAAATGAAGAGAATAGCCATCCCAAATTCAGACATTCTTCCAAAATTGTTAAGTAGTTTTTAATCATTATCTAAAGTTCTTTTGTGATTATTTGCCTCTATGCATGCCCAGGAGATGCTGCATCACTCCAAATATTTCCTACCATTGCTAAACACTAAATATTCTTCACATATTGGAAAGTGGGGTAGAAAACCTGGCCTGAAATCGACCAATGGTAACATATTTTGTGAAAGTAAATCGGGCCATTGTTTTCTGAAACAGATATAAATAAATAATTTGTAAAATATTAGAGATCATCAGAATCCTGCTGCTGTTCTTTTCATAACTGAGAAATATTCTTCTTGTTTTGGAAACCTGTTATACAGCAGACCTCCTCATTCTGAAGATTTAACAGTCCCTCACCAGTGCCATCACTGACATTTCATCTAAATTGAAACCAGTGGATTTCCCCCTGCCCTTCTGCCTTTTAAGAACTTTTTGTTCCTGAAGAGTGTGTAGAAAACATTGAGATTAATAAGAGACAAAAAATACTCTGGAGAATAGCCTGATTTGAAACACATTATAGTCAAAGTGAATTTAAATTTCAGTAGTCCTAAAGTTTTTTTGTAGACAGGGATGATGTGTTCACCCCCTCTAACCTTGTCTCCCACCCTACTTTTATTAGCTGTTATTTTCATTCTGAAGTTTTTTATCTTTTTTAAGTCTGAAATTAGAAGTATGGCAAAAATTAACTTTAATGAATTACATTAATTAAAATAAAGTTCTACAGATGAAGATTGTGGTGATATTTTTCTGCTTGATACATGTTCAGTATGTATTATTGAGGTGTTTTGAGCAGGCAGTGCAGTACCATTCTTGGCATGAGGCACAATATGGGATTATTTCTTCCTTTTCTTAAAGTTGTACATTGCTGGTGAAGAGCCAGTGTTGATCATTCATGCATCCAAATTCTTTCCTTATTAAAAACCTAATAGTAAATCTGTTTTCTTCCATCTTTCCTGAAAGTGGTATTGAAGACTTAGAGCCTGCCTTCCAGCACAATTTTGCTAGAAGTTGGGTGATGTATATTCATCTCCTAACCAACCAGAATGTGTGGTGCATAGTGGAGTAAAAAAAAAAAAAAAATTACATGGGGGTGTGTGGAGGAAACAAGCAAGCAGGAGTGAAGGAAACAGGAACTAGAACATTCAAAACATCCATATTTGTAATGACTTCCAGAATAATAGAATCAAATAGTCATAGAAATATTCCAAGTTGGAAAAGGTCCTTAAGATTATCAAATCCAATAGTAAGCCTATCACTACTCAATCCACTACAAAACCATGACCCTAACCACCATTCTGCAGGTCTTTAAATCCCCTCAGGGATGGTGATTTAAACACTTCCCTGGGCAGCCTGTTCCAATACTTGATAACTTCCTCAGTGGAGAAATATGTGCTGGTGTTCAATTTAAACTTCCTCAGTGCTACACGAAGCCTTTTCCTCTCATAATCTCGTGCATAGGAAGAGGCTGACTCCAGCTCTGCCTGGGGTGTCTGTCCCATGCCACTGTCCCTTGCAGCAGAGTTGTTCTCCTTGTGCCTTCCTAGGTGCCCGATGCCATTTTCTGCCAAGAGAGACATAGAGAGTGATGGTTTGCTTTGTGCTAGGAGTAGAAAAGTCAGGGGGGCATCAGAAGGCTATGGGAGAGGGGAGATGATGCAAGAGCCTCCTGCGGGCTCTCCTTGAAGGCATGGAAGCAGCAGCTGAGGCCTGGGACAGGACAGTGGGATGTGAGGCTCAGCTGGTCTGTGCCCCTATCCCTGCACCCCACTGGAGGGCAGGGATGGAGAGCAGGAAGAAAGCTCTGATCTTTTCCACATCTCCCAAGTACTCAGGCTGAGATCTGTGTTGCATATTACAGGCTCTGGCAAGATGTCAGGAGGGCTGGGGAGAAGAGCTTGTATATCCACAACCCTAAGCCCCCATAGACTCCCGCAGTCACCACCAGCTTAGCACAGAGTACCTGGGGGCAGTGGTCAGGGAAGAAAGAGGAATTTTCTGGGAGTGTTCCCAGCTACCAATGCACTGGCATTCTTGCACCCACTGTCCCAGGACAGGCTCCTGTGAAACCCTGTGCAGCTGGGCAGGGGAAGGGAAGCACTGGCAGGGACTGCCCTTGTGCAGCGCCCAGACCTGCTGCTGTGCCCTATGCCAAAGCTGGCAGAGCAAGACAAGAGTTCTTATGGAGCCTGCATGCCCTGTGTGCACACCTACAGGGGCCCTGGACAAATGTGGGCAGACAGACCCTGCTGAAAAACATCCTGGTCACAGACCTTCTTTCCATGGTGACATCACAAGGGTGTTAGACACCACCTAGCCAGGAAGGCACATGTTTTAAAATGGGCAAAGTCTGCTTCATGAGATGTTTCCTTTTGTTGAGCTTCATTAAATTACTTTCATTAAAATTCCTTAACTTTTCCAGGTCTCCTTGAATTGTATCACAGCCCTGTGATGTTTAGCCACTGTGCCATTTTGTATTATTTGTGAATTTGCTGAGGTTGTGCTCTCCCCGCTGTCCACCAGCTCAATGAAAATCTTAAATAATATTGACCCCAATCCTGACCCTGGCCTCCAAATGGGCATTGTATTATTGATTGCAATCCTCCGGCCCTGCATTAAGTTACTCAATGAATCTATTCCATTTGAAGAAAGCTTTGTCTGGTACAGTCAGAATGGTCATTTTGCATACAGAATTAATGTTTGGCAGTGGATAACTAAGGACTGCCTTCTGTGTCTTCAATTATAACTTTGTTGCAATTAACAGGTGAAAATTATGTTACTAGATTAGTATTGGAATTTAAACTGGTAACTTTTAGTTGTAGGTCAGAGGAACAATAAATAATATGCTACACAAAGCTCTATTTTGTGGGTGCAATATCTTTACAATTTTGACATTGCCCTTATCTGGGATGGTGGAAGAAGACCGGAAGATCTGCACAGCATGTGGTTTGACATGACTGTACCCTGTCTAGATTTCTATACTGTGTGAGCCTTGTTGATTTGACTTTGTGTTCCTCTCCCTCTTTCCTTCCCCACATCAACCCTTTATGTATTCACAGCACAGCACAGGTATCTCTCTACTGGTTTTTGACATGAGCACAAGGGGCAGCAAATCAGCACTGATGGATCAAACACGAATTAAGCAGTAGGCACAAACACCTCTGCCTGTTTCAGGACAGCCAGGGAAGGTGTCATTCTGAAGTGCTGTCTGCTAAAAGGCCCTACATTAAGACTCCCATTCCTCAGACCATTGCATTAGGAACTCCTCCCTTTCTACATGGTTATCCATAAAGTCTTCTGCACTTTTCTTCATGTAACTCAGCTGCACAATTTAGCCAGCTACAAGACAAATGTGGTATTAACCCTGTTCCATACAGCCTGAACTGTTTAATGCTGATTCCACAGATTGCTGCATGGCTTCCCAAAATAATGCTTCATTTTATTGTGAAGAGCTCATATTTTAACTCCTATGTGTTTCACAATGAACTGAACTTCTGATCACTTTGTCCACTTCTAGCCAAGGTGCTGGGAAACAGGAAAACAGAGCTGCTGGGATTTAGAAAAACAACTTCTAACAAGATAAAAATGGATTTTCACTTTAAAATTATTTTTTAATTGTCAACATACATATCACCAACAAATGCATTACTAAAATTACCTCAAGTTATGCCAAGCGGCATAGCTTCAGGTGATTTTCAAGTTTGATGTCAGGTGAATTTATTCACAGAAAGGGCTGTTAGACATCATAATGCCCTGCCAAGGGAGGTGATGGAGTTACCATCCCTGGAGGTGTTCAAGAAACAAGTGGACAGAGCACTCGGTGCCATGGTCTTGTTGACAAGGTGGTGATTGGTTCAAGTTTGGACTCAATGACTTTAAAGGTGTATTCCAGACTAAATCATTCTGTGATTCTGCAAACGCACTGCAGGTGAACTGCTATCTTATTGGTTTATCCTCTTTTTTCTACTGACATTCACGTCTCTGTCTTTGTATTTTCAGATACAGTATTCTAGGTTTGCTACTTGGAAAAGAAAAAACCATGGCTTCCAACACATCAAACCCTGCTAACCATTTGCCTTACTTCTTTGGTAATATCACACGTGAAGATGCTGAGGAGTACCTAATGCAGGGAGGAGCAAGTGACGGACTATACCTGCTCCGCCAGAGCCGGAATTACCTGGGCGGCTTCACCCTCTCCTTGGCCCACGGAAGGAAGGTTCACCACTATACAATTGAGAGGGAGCTGAGTGGCTCCTATGCTATTGCGGGAGGCAAGTCGCATGCCAGTCCTGCTGAACTCATTAATTATCACTCAGGGGAAGCGGATGGCCTTATCTGTCTGCTGAGAAAACCTTTCAACCGGCCACCAGGCGTTGAACCCAAAACAGGACCCTTTGAAGATTTGAAAGAGAACCTCATCAGAGAATATGTCAAGCAGACTTGGAATTTGCAGGTAAAACCAGACTGGATCTCACCATAAAGTAATTTTTGAGCTAGGAGAAAAAGAGATTGCAGTGTTTGTTTCCAGCTGTTGCTGCTGCTAGGTAGTACTTCGTCACAATGAAATCATAGCTGTTTGAAATTTAACAGTAAGGGGTTTTTCTCCCCAGTCCATGCAGTAACTTGGCAATAAGCGTAGTTTTCCTGAAATTTAAGCACTTAGAATTTCTACAATGTCCTGGTCTAGCATAATCTTATCTACCTCTGCACTAACATATGTCATCAGATTTGGACCAAAAATTAATACATGTAATGAACAAGATACAGAAATTGATTGTCTCATCGCTTTTAATTCTGATTTTTATTGATTGATATGCAGGCAGGCATGGTGGCATGATGACTTTTTTTACATCTTACTCTCTTAGTTGGTCTTTTTTTCTGTGTTGCTAATTTAAGTTATGTCCAAAACAGAAATTGTTCCTGAAAGAGAACAGTTTCTGCACTGTGGAATACTTCCTATACATCTTCAGTGCTGCAAGGGTCAAGCAGGAATTTTCCACGTGGAGGACAACATGTTGGATTTTTTCCTGAGAATGACTATGAAGAAGCCAGTCTTAACATGGAAACACTAGTGTAGGAGGCTGCAAAGGGAATATTATTTCACCTTGAGATGTCATGTTACCTTTAGAACTGATGAAGATACTCAGGGTTTCTAATCTCTTTTGCTGCTAGCAAGTAGCCCTATGAATTTTGCTCTGTAAAATATATGGAGCAACCCCCAAACTGGGAAAACCTGAAACTTACACAACATTTTCTATAACTTCTGAGGTTCAGTGTCTTTTCTGATGGGTCTGAGCTCAATCTAGAGGGAAGCTGACAAACTCTGGTTAAACGCTGGTGAAACTAGTGGGGGTTGCCCTCAGATTCTGAGCCCAATTTAGAAGTGGTAGGTTGTAGACAAGGTTAGAAATGTCTAAGTTAATATTACTCTGAATAATTGACTCTAAAATGGGGACTGTACTGTCTGGGAAAATTTGCATTGATGTCTTTGACATAGACAGGCTGTAACAGTGCAAAGTACATGTAGTTTATTTCAGTACACTGCCATAAGATATGTATTTGGAGGTACGTTTGAAATCTCAGACACTAACTTCTTTAGCATAACAATATGACTTTATTTTAAGGTTAAATACTGAAATATCAGTGGTTTTACTTACTGGTTATTTTTCCTTCTTTTTCTCAGAGGTAAAGGAGGAACCCTAGTTTTGTGATGTTTAAAATCTTTATAGCAAACAGGCTGTCACACACAAAAAATATGTGCAGATTTTGAATGTCCCAAGAGCAGTCCCAAAAGACTGAGAGTCTACCTGTCATCTTTTTATTGCAGAAGGTAGTTTGACTGTTTCACTGTGTTTTTACTGCTCTCTAGGGGCATGCTCTTGAACAAGCTATCATTAGTCAGAAGCCTCAGCTGGAAAAGCTGATTGCCACTACAGCCCACGAGAAGATGCCGTGGTTCCACGGGAGGATCTCTCGGGAGGAGTCAGAGCACCGTATCCTCATTGGGTCCAAAAACAATGGAAAATTTCTGTGAGTTTATTTTTCTGTGGTGTTGCTGTTTGCCTCCAGTGTTACTGTACACTCTTTTGAATAATGTCAAATGAGACTATGCCCAAAAACGTGATTCATCCACAATGAGGGCACCCATTTCAGCATAATTTCCATTATGCCTCCTTCCCTCACTTAACTAAAGATGCAAAACTCTAACAAAAGCCTAGAACACCTGCAGAGGTGTCCACTAGGGCCTGCTGGCAGCAGTTGTGACCAGCCCAGGGCACCCCCTGGCCTTTGCAGCCCCACTGTCAAAGCCTGACCACCTGCACCCAATACACAGGCTTATTAAACTGGTAGTATTAAACAATTAGAGACAAAGTCTCTATGTTAGCAGCTGTTGGGATCTGTATCTGTCAAGTCTCCCAGGGACAGGGGTAGTGCTTTGTTTTGTAGTTAAGCAATAAAATGATCACTTCTACCTTGACAGCACCGTTTTGTGTCTGCTTCTTACCCTCTCTATTTACCAAGCCTAATGATCTTTTGTTTTCCAAGCACAAATGTGGCATTAGGATAGTGACTGACAGCCATAAGGGACTAGAGACAGGGGTTTGTTTGGAGAATCCTCATTTGAAAAATACCAGTGTTTTAACAGAGCTGTCTTTTGTCATTCCCACCTCCACACAGAAAGTATTTATATAATGATAAAAAATTTGAAAACTTAGGCTTAAAAGTCAAGGCCAAGTAAGGCCAAGTAAGGATCACTTAGAATTGTATAATTTCTGAGGGAAATTTCATCACCTACCTGTGTAGTTTTCTTTAACACTCAGCCTTCTCTGGCTTTTTTTAGAGGTAGTCCAAAAGTTGCTGTTACTAATTACCAGCCCAGCATCACCACACAATCTCTCCTTTTTCTTGCCCTGTGATTTTGCTAGTTTTTTTTTCTATTTTTTACATAGAAGGTCCATAATGGAAACAAAATGCAATCCTTTCTTTTAAGGACAATATTATACCTAAAATTATATTGCTTTTTTGCTTTCTATCACCTTACCAAACCAACTTTGTATTAGCTGAGTCATGATATTGCTGATGTATTAAAACTGGCAGCTTTTCCAGTTTGCCTCAGGCACAAACTCTGTGGCCAAAGTACTTCTCTTTGGGACAAGGAGGGGAGGGGGGACACAGGGGGAAGGAATATAGTTTTTCTTCAAGGAAAAGGATCTACTAGCTAGCATTTCTTAACAACAGAGATAGGTTTTGGAGTAAGGGAGTGAAATTAGTTAAGAAATTTGACATTTTCAGCCTTTATTATAAACAGTGGCCTCGTTTAAATCTTCTATAAGCAGTCCTATTGTTTTGACTGGAAATATTTTCCAGAATTTTCCTGTGTTCCTTGAAGATTTCCTATCAAGATCCTCCTTGATAGGAGACATTTCTGATGCTCTTTGCAGTGACATGCTCAATGAGTTGTGGGGGAGCATTCAGACCTTATCCCACAGGACTGGATATGTCAATGGATCCATATTTTATATAGTTTTGATGGAATTCAGGTGGCTACTTTCATATTGGGAAGAGAAACCCACAGAGTAGAAAATTCTAATTTTAAGGCTCTGTTTAAACCATGAGAACTTCCACTGGAGCTTAAATAATATTAATTGCTAGTATGTTGATCTTGGGTGCCTCTTATTAAGGACAAGACTGTTTACTTCTGGATCTGTAGGATGCTTTCTGATGTATTAATTGCTCTTGCACAGACTTCCTATCTGGCAATTTTGGAATGTAGTAGCCACTCAGCTGCCACTTGCTCCTAGGGTCTCAGCGAAGACACAGGGAGAGACTTAATCTACCCCACAGTTCAGTAGCCAGTTCAGCAAGAGAAATAATGGGTTGTTAATTTGTGTTGAAATCATTTATTCTACATTCCTGAGCCCTTCTAGCTCTCAGACCCACAGACTTAGAGGCTCATCACAAATAAGAAAAGAACTGCCTAATTCAGAGAGGTTTATTGCTTTCTGCAGTGGGTTGCCTAACATGGGCTTGCTCAGCAGGTGTTGAGAAATAAACCACTCATTTCTGGCTAACTGAAGCAGCAGCAGCAAAACTGTTGAGTGTGAGTGTGCTTTACACTGTTTTACGTTTCAGGCACAGGCATCACATAGTTTTACCTACCCAGCAGCAGTGCTTGTCAGAATATTCTGTATATCTGTGGATTGAAGGCTTTGAAGTTGTGACTGTGAATTAGTGTTTTTCTAATACTGGTCAAAATAATTAAACCCTGTAGCTGACTGAAAAGTAAAACTTTCAGACATGTAAGTCTAAGAGATATTTGCCTGTTGAGGTTGGAATTGGAACCTGGGAACAAAGAGAGGAGCTAGATTTTTTAAGAGATTAGGTACTTCTGAGGTTATTTAACAAGTCCAAAAGTGAACCATATTGTTTATTATGGAGAAAATAATAAATATTAGAACGATATAATATTTTAGTATATTTTTAACAAGGCTCTCCAAAACTTCATTACAGCAGAAATTTATTATCCATCTGACCTACCTACCTTAAAACAAAATCCAGTACAGCAGTCTGTGTAATAATACAACCAACATGTAGATTTCTTTAGCACTGCTGTGCAGCAATACAAGATTATCAAATCTAGAATTATTTTCAATGGTTTAAATATGGAAATAGTGGAAAATCTTCCTGACTGCAATTCACAATATCATGAATATCACCATAAATATAATACTACAATGCATCCAAGGAAAAATTCTGAGCTAAATGTATCTTTTACCAGGGAATTTTCAAAGGTATTTTTAAACTTTCTTTCATGGCTTAAAAGTCAGTAAAGTATGTATGTGAATGCTAGAGAGTTTGTTTTCAGAACCAAACACAGACACCATGACATGAAATGGGAAGTATTTTCTACCTCTCCCGTGAAGGATGTTTATGTAAGATTGCCACTCTAGGCATGCACCAAAATCCCCACTTTATATCTGAAGGCCCATTTAACTACACTAACACTTTTACATTGTCTATTGGGTGATGGTTCTTGACCAGACTTCTGGGGTTTATTACATTTTTCCTGGTAGGGAACACTGATCATAGATAAACTTGGTAATACTTTTATTAATACTGTAATAATATTTTTATTAATAATGCATCATTAAATATTTCTAATATTGTTGATATCTATGTGAGTTCATGCATAGATGTGTGGAAGATTTGAAAAATAAGTTATCACTTTGCTAAAAGCAAACAGCAGAAGCGTTAGTTTCCTCTGTAGTTTCACATAAGAAACACCTCTGGCATGTGGTAAGGGTTAGCATATCTTGCCATCAGTAATGACCACTTAAGTTATACGAGCATGTGATCTTACATAAATAAACCAGGAGTTAAAAGAATATTCAGAAATACTGTTAAACTAAAATTTTCAATATTAGGGAAATTGTGAGTGAACGCACTGCAAATTAGCAGTTTAGTCTATATAAACTTTTTACATGTGTTCATAGCTGTATGTAGCTCACATAAAATATGAACAGTTGTGTAAAAGGAAAGTAGAAAACTATTTCAGTGTCATATGAGTATCTTCAGTACAATGGGAATATTAAAGAGAACTAATCTAGTTTAGACTATTATAATGAGTCACAGTAATATGCCACATCATGGCCATCACAACTAGAAACTAAACTGTCTCTTAAGTGTCATAATACTTAATACTAGCAACTGTATTTCAAAATAATAAACGTTGAAGTGCAGTTATCTGTAAGAGTATTCTTGTCTTTTGTCTGACCAAAATTTTCTGTTTCTTGTATATGTAGCAATATATATTTACACTAATATTGCTGCCTTCTAGGAGTTTGCTGCAGACTGCATAATGAGCTAGGCAATTTTCCTGACCATGTAGAGAATTCTTTAGATAATTCTATCAGTATTAAATTTCTATCCATAAAATGGACTGGACATTGTTGACATCATAGATCATAGATGAAAACAATCCTATTAATTGTGACCTTAATTCAGGGATATTAATTAATGATGGTCCTCTTGAAAGTGTCAAGGAGTGCTAGGCTTAGATGACCATAAAAGTTTTTCAAGATAAATGACAATACACAGACAATGAACTGTGTTTCTGGAGGTGCTGAAATGATGCCCATGACGCTTTGGGAGAGCTGTTTACTGATCTTTTGTTAGGTACGTGTGGGTGCCACTTGCAGACCAGTGCAGCAGGGCTGTGGCCTCTCGAGATGAGTTCTGCACTGGGCACTTCAGCAGCAGAGTCTGAGCTGTGAAGAAAAGCTGTGACCAAACTGAGATAGCTGTACTCAGAAGATCCCCTATTTCAGGTGCAGGTTTACTGCAGAGCTGTTAGGGGTTTGGTGGAGCATGGTGTATTTTGCTGACAGGGTGAAGTCAGCTAAATAGACTAATTTGATGCAATCATTCTTACAAAAGCATTTTGTAACTGCGCAGCAGACTTACTAGGAGATGAATTTTTAAGTTCCATTGTAGATAGTAACAGTGTGAAGCTGAGCTATCTCCTAAATCCTGTAGTGTTCTGACATTTCTGAAACAGCTTTTAATGTGTTAGTGAACAGGGGAGAAGAAATGAAGCAATTGAAGACAGCAGTCAATCCCTTTTGTCCTCTCTATAATTCTTTTACAGATGGCACCAGGTTCATTTATTACTACCTGCAAACTTGGAACATATGCAATGTGCAGCAGATCTTTGAAGTCATGATGAGTAGTCATGTTGTTAATAGCATTACCAGGGAGATAGTCATGAATAGAGAGGGCAAGACAAGCAGGGAATGGCTGGAGCTTCATCAGGAGGAACGTCATCATGGGGAAATCCATCATGGGGAGCATCAATATCTCTGGCACCAAAAAATCTGTAATTGCAAAGAAGGCAAAGCAATGCCAAGAATAAAATTTAGCGTGCCTTTGGATTCAGAAGCAAGAAAAATTTCACACCATTCCTAAAGCAAGCATCTTGTTTGTTTATTTTCTTTATAATTCTCCACTGAAGAATGCTGTGAATTCTGTTTTTTTCTACACAGTCAATGAGGCATATTGTAATAGCAATTTATTTCTTTGACCCTCAGGGATATTTTTCTTTAGAAAGAGATGGATCAGATCATTTGGGTTTTCAGATGGAAACAGAAAAAAATGGGACATTGTTTTTTTTGAAAATACCAAAGGAAGGAAATGATAGCTATTTACACTGTCTGTAATAGTGGTCCAAATTGCTAATTGTTGCTGTCTAGGTTGCACTCCCAAAACCACAAAAAGTACTCAAACACACACTGCATGAAATATAAAATCAACACCTAAAAATTCCCTCCATTGCACCAGGTCACAGTTTTAATTTCTACATTCCCTAGTCTGCTGTATTAAAGATGTATGTCACAAAAAATCTAGGTACCTTGGCACTTCTTTAATATGCTATGTACTCAAATATGTTCTCAATGAAGTTGTTCATATTTATGATTAATTCAGTGGATGAAACAACAGTGTTGTTTATTTACAGGTGTTTGTTATGTTTTTCTTCTGTACATTTGCAATTCTCTGCAAGAGCATGAAATGGAAGACCAGGTGATACCTCACTTCCAGTTTATTTCCTTGCCAAAATTTTTCTATGAAGACCTTTTTATTTAGCAGTTTTTATTGAAGAACAGTAAATACTGTGCTTAATTTCAGAGCACCTTAAAGCAGAGAGTGCATTTGGAGTTTTGAATTCTTTTCTCAACATTCTGAAAACTGTTACTCTCCATAGAAGGAAAGTTCCATATATGAAGAGAGCTCCCAGAGAGAGAGAGCCATGTGAAGGCTCTGGGTAATAAAGGCAGCACCATCAAGAAGATGTGAGACTTTTCTGTCCATTCAAAGAGGTTTCAATTTACAACCTTTTTGTTTGAACAGCATTTGCCTTTCATTCTATTTTTTACAGCAACCATTGACATAAAACTGGATACTGCTATCCAGCTGCAGATCTGGAGGCTTAACCTAGACAGCCATTACCACAGTCTGCAAAACCAAAGTGAAATTGTGAAATGTGCCTTGGGGCAGTCCATGTCACCCAGTATGGGTTCAGTTTGCCAAAACTAAGACTTCCCACTGTCAATTCAATGCACTTGACACTTCTGCATTTCAGACATATTTTGAAAGATTGTATTATCTTCTGGTTTCATGTTTTGTGGGGATCCAGACTGTGTACCTCCTGATTTTGTCTTTTATAGGGATCTAGGTTGTGCTGGAGTTGACTGACTGCAGCTTAAAACCCACCTGCTCCATGACCCTAAGGGCAAAAGGGTCCTGCTGGACCCTGACTGATCATGGAATGGTAGTGTTTTCAGGATGTGCAGTGGTAGAGATGTCTGACAAAAGTTAACATGGCTGTGAGCTGCAGATGGCTCCAGAGTTGTGTAGCTATTTGGCTAGGGGAGAGAAAAGCTCCAAAATGCAATTACAACCATATAAACCTGAACTCCACCTAAATCCTGCACTGAAGAGTGATTGAGCTGTTTGGGTCTTTGCCACAGCCTTCAGAAATCAGAGCTCTCCCCTCCCGTGGGTGCCTGTGCTCTCAAAAAATGTTTGTAGTGCCTCTCATGAGAGTAACAACTCTTGCAAATGAGAACCAGTTTCAGTAGAACTGAATTGTATTCAGTTCTCCATTTCTTCCTGTGAAGCATGAAGGATATTTGTTACTGAGAAGCAATTCATTGCATTTTTATTACTTGTGCTATTCTGAACAGAAGCCTGATTGTAATGAATTGCCACTTGTGTTTTAGAAACAATGCCCTCTACTCTGAAAATATTTTTCTAAGCTTTATTTGCTTTGAGCAGGTCAGAAGAAGACAAAGTAAAAGTCACTCTTGATTTTAGCAAAGCCTGATACTCTTCACTGGTCAGTCAGCACAGGAAATCAGCATGCTGAGAAAACACCTCTATGCCATGAAGAAACCACAGGGACTTACACAAGTTACTTTGGTTTCAGAAAACAAAAAACTGACCCTACTTCCCTTTTCTTTTAGCCAGCGTCCTGTTCACATCTTAGGCAACAAAAATCATGCTACTTGAAAGAAAAAGCTGCAGAAGTAATTCAGACAAAACACGGTTTTACTTCAGCCTTGAGAGAGTCAGCTGAGGAGAATAATTTAATACTTGCCTCTGAAATCTCCTGAGATATAATAGCAAATACCAGTGTTGCACTAGCAGAGTTTCTTAATACCTTAGTGAGAGTTTACTGCTATATTTCTTTTCAAGGCTGTTCAAAAATTCGAGGGAGAGTAAGTAGATTTCTGTGCATATCAGAACAAGGAATGTTTTAATGCTCCAGAATATAGGATTTTCATTACATAAAAAGAAAAAAAGCCAGTCAATTTTATTCTAACTCTATTGCTGTCACACTGTCAGCTGTCAGTGAGCATGAGAACCTGACTGGAAGAAAAAGCCTTCTTTCTAAACTCAGAAATGTTGCACCAGCTATGATGGAGCTAGTAACAAATTCCCGTCTACTCTGAGTTCTGAAACCAGAATATGCTGATCTCAGTGTCAGCTAGCCCTGAGTACATGTGTAACAATTCTGTCATGCTTTATAGGCATCTCAGAGGAAACTCGCAGGTCTCCTGGAAGGAGGAGATCATCCTACCTGTGAATTGTAGACAAAGTTTTTATATTACATTTGGACTTCTCTCCATGGCGAGGTTTAAATAAGATATATACACTTCAGTACCATATGAAGTTTCATATGAGTTTTATTTGAAATCTGCAACAAAATATTAATGTCTTCCCTGAAATCATAACAAATAATGATTACAGAAATATACTATTTTCTTTAAATTCCCAGCCACACAGCAAGATATTTCAAACACAAAATTTTTACTCTTTCACATTACATTCTTTTAGTATTTAATCTTCTGTTCTTGCTGTCATTCTCTATTTCAAAATAAAAATACACTAGAGAGGTAAGATAGTACTGCAGAATCTTTAAAATACATATTTGCCCAAAGAGTGCTTTATGCAGTGTACAGTGTTCTGTAGCTGTTTAACAGTGCCTTACATCATTGATTTTTTGTTTTAATCTGTTGTCTTTTTGGAAGAAAAAAAAAGAGAAATTTAAGTCAATTTACCTAAAAGTTAATTACACTAAGAAATAAAAGAAAGGCTTAACAAAATATTGTCAGAAGTTGCAGTAATAATTTTCTTTTGGTTTTAATTCAAAAGGTTTAGGGAAAGAATGATTAAAAGAGAATACGCACTCCTAGTAAATCCTGAAAGTCTTTCTTGTTTCTACAGTATCCGAGAAAGGGACAGCAATGGTTCCTATGCCCTGTGCCTGCTGAATGATGGAAAAGTACTGCACTATCGTATTGACAGAGACAAGACAGGAAAGCTCTCCATACCAGATGGAAAAAGATTTGACACCCTTTGGCAGGTCTGTTAAATTTATGTCATGTGGATATCTGTCATCACATTTCCATATAACTGACCAATTGACCAATGTTGTTTTATTTTGCCTTGTGACAATAGTTTTTGGCTAAAACCAACATGTTTTGGCAGGTTGTTTGCCTGCCAAAATGTTTCCAACATTTTGTGGTTTCTCTACATGAAGAAAATATATGTTAATGTAGAAAGCTATGTAAGTGTAGAGAGTTTAATAATTTTTAAATGTGATGTTGCAGCTTGACCAAGTTCAAACTGTGATTATTATTAGTTATTATATCATTAGCTGAACATAGTCTACAATAAAAGTCTGTTCATATTTGCAAGTAGCCATTTTAAACAATGGATATGCTTGGTTTAGTCTTTTGCTAATGTCCTTTATGATGGCAACCTGTAGAATTCTAGCAAGCAAAAAGAGGATGGTTTAAGATATTACACAGATAATTCAGTCTTTAGCTTTGAAATTCTCTACCTTTAAATCTGCTAAAGCATGGTTTGCTGAGGCTTACCACCAAAATATTTCTGAACTCTGGTAAAGATTAAGCAATTAAGTAGTCTATAGCTGATACTAAAATTGAATACTGGTGAAATGACTGTGTAAATTGAAAATACTAAGGGAATTGAAATCCCAGAAGAAATCTCTTGTGTCCTCTTGCTTAAAAATCTATTAAAATTAGTTAAGTGAGTCACAGATCTAAAATATGAATCTTTACTTGCATATATTAATTCTTTGGATTTTTGTATTTCTTTCCTGGTGGCACTGAAAATTGAAAAGCAGCTCTGTTATCTTAAAGTTTTTGTGAACATGTTTGCAACTCTTACAGACCTTATCCTTTATACTGAAATGGAAAATACTGAAAATAACAGTAACAAACCTGCAAAAAATGATGTGGAGAGGACAATCCAGGAGCACAAATGGCCGCAACTGCTGGTGCTACATTTATTAACTGTACACATCCCATTGCAATTCTGAGGTGCAAAGAAAGCATTGCAAATTAGGGAAATTATTGCACTGTATTTAATCCCAAAAAAAATTTAAAAAGGACAGAGACAGTGGGAACTCAAGGACATAAAAATACGTTATTTCCTCAGAGCTACAAAGCTGTTTAATAGTAGAACCAGGGCAGGGGAATACTGACCCTTATAAATCCATTCCTGGATCACATTGCACATTTATCCACAAGATTACTTCAGAAACATGCACCCCTACTAAATAGAAATAAAGTAAATAATATGTGCAGTAAAGATCTGCTGTATTCCAAGGTCATTTGTTGTAATATATATCAACTGTTGTACATACACACACATTTCTAAAGAGACAATATATTTAATAATACCACCCTCATATTTTCATATCTTTTTCTCTTATTATTTCTTTTTTTTTCCCTCCACTCTCATTCTGCTAGTTAGTTGAGCATTATTCATACAAACCAGATGGATTATTAAGGGTTCTTACCATTCCTTGTCCACAACATGGCTCAGAAAATGGTGAGTTATTCCTATTGTTTTTATATGTGTTAAAAGACATGATAATTGATAAACATGTGTGAATTTTTTTTACACTTACCATATATGTGGGTGCAGATTTTCCACATTTTCAAACAAGGTAGCATCTGTCAGACTGCATGATGGAGGCAGATCCTGTAGCTTAGGGCTACCAAATCAAATTATTGCTGGATCTAAATTATTGTTAGATCGGAAATGTGCTCTGCTGATCAAAGTGGCAGTGTGTGTTACTTGGAGCACAAACATGAAAAAGTCTTCCCAGCACTGCTGCAGTGATCCTTACTCCAAGCTGAAGCAGGCACAGCAGCAGTGATGCTGCAGGAATTCAGGAATTCAGGTGCAGTGAGTCGTGCAGTTACCATGTTGGGGGAGCAGGGCAGAACAAGGCACTGGCTGCACCCAGCACTGAAAATGGGGTCAGAGAGACAATCCTTGATAACTTGTGGGAAAGGAGAAGAGGTGGGGGAAAGTGTCAGTGTGCTTTTTGTCCTGTTTCTTCTTTAATGTCATGTCACACTGAAGAGACGTTGTCCTCCCTGATTGAAGAGGGAAAAGAGATGCATCTGACTGATCTATGTCCAACTTGTGCTCTTCCAGAACTGATTTTCTCTCTCTAAGGCCACCTTCTGTCATTCTAACTGGATGCCAGTGCCATGGTGAGAGGATATAGAATAATCAAATATAATCATAGAACCATTTAGGTTAGAAAAGACACTAAGATCATCAAGTTCCACCCTGAAGTTTTTACTTTTTCCACTCGTTTGAATCACTATATGCTTTTTTCCACCATTATTTTCATTCTCCTTTGAATTGTTTAGGCTCTGCACTTACTTTTGTCTCTGTGGCCAGAAGTTGCAGAGTCTGCTGCATGTAAGAGACAAAAGCAAATAGTCCAAGAGAAACACTGTAATGTGATCTAAAAACTACACAGTGGGTCCCCTCTGTAAAATTCTGTGTTCTTACAAAAATTTCTCACCATGCTCAGTATCATTTTACATTTGATTCCTTTGCAGATAATCTTGGTTTTAATACTCATCATTCTTCTGTAACGCTTCCGAAGGTAAGTGAATGTGGTGGTATAGCAATAGCATTCATTTGAGGAGGATTACAGTCACATACTGTTCTGGAAATTCTAATTATTGGGTATTATTTAATCTGTGAGTTTACTTTTCTTGGGTTATAAACAGTGATTTGAAAAGAAACAACATATTCTATCATGGTATTTCTTTCATCAGTGTTTTGGATGTGCTAGTCATAATTTAATTTTGTGAACCACTTTACACATATAATGTTTGTGATAAAACAGTATTTTCCATAGGCAAGATGCCTCATTGATGGTCATATTCTATAATGTTGTATCAACACTAGGAGGAAAGGTACCACATTGCTTATGTTGTTCACTTCGAGAATCTTCTGACTGAAGCAGAAATGGAAGTACAATTTATTTTAATATTTGGTCTGTGCAGTTAACAGCAGACTTTGCACAAGGGTTTCATTTCTTATGCACTGCTTTAGGGGTGATTCTTTCCTCCACTCCATGCAGAGTGAGCAAGTCCCCCTGTTAACATAATTACCTGAGTTCTCAAAGTCCATTGTCTGCAGAAGCCATCTGAGGTGTGATACATTTACAGAATCAAATAATACTGTCTTGTTCAAGGTAGTTGATTTCATCTGAATATGGAGTTAATTTCAGTCATTTCCCTGCATAACTTAATCATTTAGATCATTATCTTGATGCAGTCCCATACTATAGAAAAAAAATTATTCAAGTAAGAAATTACCTCTATTTAAATAAAATTGACTCCTAGCAGGCCTGTGAGTAACCAGTCTCATATCTTCACTTCTGAAAATCAGGTACCTTTATAAAGAATTGGAAATTAAAAAACCAAAATCAGTCTCTTTTTAATTAAAATATTTTCAAATCTATTACTTATTAATTATTAATAATATTTTAATAAAATAATTAAATAATAAAATACTGCCTTGAGGTTTGGCTCTGTGCCATTTACAAGAATGTCCATGAAGTTTAAGCACACAAGAACACATGTGTATCATCTGGTATACATGCAGTTGTAGAGATATGGTAAGCACATTCAGTGTGGGAATACTGTGTATGTTTCATAATATCCACAGAAAAATACACACTATAAGTGTAAATTTAACTCCTGCTTAGGACTTGTCATGATAACTAAAAAGAAGGTCACCAAAGCTAAGTGAAAGTGCATGTTTTGCAAAGAGTGTACTAAAACATTGTTTCAATATTAAATATACTTGATATTTTGAATTTTTCAGAATTGAAATCTGAATTTTGTGGGGTTTTGTGACTTTTTAAAAATGAGCCTGCTAAATTTCTTGCTTGTAATATAAATATAGAAAATGGAAAATTTTAAATAACTAATATTACTTATGGAGCTCAAAAATTTCACTTAATATTGCCAGGTTCTCATGCATTAATACTTGTGTGCAAAAGCAGTAACTCATGAAGATTTTTAATATTTCTGAAATACAATTATTCATATTGCACGAAATCAAAATTAAAGCCAGCTTAAAGAGAAGGAGTACAATCACTAACATACATAATACAAACAGAATATTATATGGAAGATGTGCAATATATCTCATATTATTTACACCATGGTAATTAACATTTAGGAGTTCCTGACATTTCTAGTATAATGCATAGGGCTTTTTATCTATTAAAACCATTGCCAAAATATGGAAAATGGAATAGGGAATTTTTGAATTTGTTATCAAAATAATTGCGATGAATTTGGGAAGTATCCTGGAAAAAAATAAAAGGGATAAGGCTCAGTAGAAACTAGTAAAGATATTGCACTTTTAATAATCAGATATAAATCACAGAATATCGAGCAGACACAGCTTTTCAGAGGATGTTATGCCTGCAGTGAATCAGGATGGGAACAAGAATGAGCAACCACCATGCTGGTAGAGGAAAGGGAAACATCAATGTGTTTCCATTTTGTTTGAGTCTGGCAAGGTCTCAGCTGAAAGATTTTCACCTGTTTTTGACACTGCACAGAAGAATGTTGTCCAGCAGGAGATAATCCAGAGCAAGACAACAGGGATGATCATGACTTGTGAGAAAGGATTAGAATAAAGAAGCAAAAGAGAGAAAGCAGAGGAACAAAACATAATGGTCAATTCTAAGCAACAGTCTAATACTAGTGCTTCCATCCACACCAATTTTTCAATATATTTTTCATTTATATATATATATTGCAGCCTAAAATACAGCAGTGCTATTCTAAAGTCTTAGTGGAATAGAATGCCCAAATCTGAAGTTGTTTTGAATTTAAGAAGGTACATGAAATGTACAAACAACTGCTGAATGATATGCAAGGCAGACTGTCCAAAGGATTTATCTGTAAAATATTAATTATAAGAGCTTGGAGTAAAATTTACATCAGGGATGTAAATCTATATCAGATTCGTCTAATATCTGCTATTGTTCCATGGACAAATTTGGAGTAACAAAGTTTAATGTAATATGGACGATACTAATATGATTCCTCTGCAAAAGAAAGAACTTTTTGCTAAATGTCTGTATTGAAGATAATTTTCCATGAAGAATATTGTTCTTGCTTCTCCCAGAACATGCATTGACTAGGATGTTTCTTGCCTTTCACATGAGGTTCTATGGCTAGATTTAAGGTGATTTTGACCCCTTCCATTTTGTAAATTACTTTTTTCTCCCTGCAATCAATTTCATCCCAATATATATTTAAACTGGCAGAGGAGCTTTTGAGATGAGTCTTTAGTTCAATTCTCCAGCTGATGACATTTTAATGAAACTGCCAAATTCTGGCTATTTCCCAAATTCTCCTCTTAACTTTTCTCAGTATTTTGTTTAGTTACAGTCTTTTAGGTGGTAATAAGAGATCTAAACTTTATGAGTACAGCCTAACTGTAACTAGTTGCTGTGCCTGATGAGGAATTCATCTCAACATGCATTTGTAGGTCTAATACAAATATGTGAGTTAAGCAGTAGACCATAACTACAGGTGGTTGCTTTCCCAAGTGCTGGGAGATACTCTTGTTGAAAAAGTATAATGAGAATCATGCTCAGCTTGTGCAAAGGAGTGCTTGGCCTCTTAGAGGATTTATCTATTGCAAAACTGTAACTAAGTAGTACTTCAGGTTTCCTTTATTCCCAATATGGAAAGACAATTTCATGAAGAAAAAGAAAATAGCTGACTCAGTAACCTTTTTCGATATGCAATATATGGAATTTTCATGCATCACAGCTATGAAGAATGTCAAGCACCAAAAAGATTTCTGCTCCAGTAGCAACAGGGACCACATCGCTGTCCTTGGTGTCTTGAAACAAAAGATACTTTTTAATATTAAATCACACATTTTCTTTTAAAAGAAAACTAGGGAATATACCAATCCCAATCCTATAAATTTAAAAGATACCCTTTCAGAAAATATGAAGTCCAAATGGGCTTCTTATTAAAAAGTTCAGAACATCTAAGTACAAAGGCTGTTTAAAGTAACCAAGAATGTGGTTCAGATTGTTGTTTTAGCCTCAGGATCAGACTAAATATTTGAAGAATAAGTGCTCCATCTCAGTTTTTAATAGTCATGTATGATCTCTCAGTGGCCGCTAAAAATGCTAGTTTATCACATTTAATTAAGGTGTTCTTGTAAAATATATTTGAGTATCTTTTAAAGGTGTCTTTACACAGAACATAAGTGTATATGTATAAAGCCTGTTCCTTTTTGTTTGGAATTAATATTACCTAGCATGATTTCTGCTTCATTACCCACACTGTTGTATGACCAAGGTGTCCTTCAAATTTTGCTTGATACATTAGCCATACTTCCAGACACGAAAGTTATCCACTCATTTCTAAATACATTTGGGGGCTGGGGGAGGGGGACTAAAGTTCAGTGACAGAGGCAGGAGAAGCATACAGCATACTCTATAAATACAGATCTGGACAAAGGGCAGTGAATTTGAATTTAAAAACTGTCTTAAGGTATGTCTACAGGTTCAGGATAGCTTGACAGTAATACAGACAAAATAAAATTTAGTACTAATATTTCCTGTACTACATTTTTTTGATGCGTCATGTGTGTGTACTTGAAGGCACAGAAAGTTTGGGAGTGTTTTCTTCTTTTAGAATGTCTTTTTTTTGTGAAATACCTTTAGCTATTTTCATGACACATTTACTGTTCCTCTTTGACATTGTGGTTTCTAGAGTTGGTCAGGAGGTGGAATTATCTCAAGACTCAAATCGTACACCTTCCCAAAGGCTGGCAGCAAAAAGGTGCCTCATATACTTTTTTTAGGTTTTTGACTGAGCTAAAAATACTTAAATGACTAATTTCACTCTCTTCTCCCCCTCTTTTCGCTTGCTGTCTTGACTACTAACAATTAGATTGTTAAGATTTTGTAAGCTTTCTGCATCTATCCTAATCATCTGCATAATTATGGGCTTGATTTTATTACTGAAGCAATGGGCTTGAAGGGGTTTTAAAAATAGAGGGATTATTTTTTATTTTATTTCTGGCATACCAAAATAATGCAGATCTCAATATTTCTGCAAATAGAATGTGATAAAATATTTTTCAAAACCACTCAGAACAAAATTATATTTCTACTTTCCTTTCTAATCAGAAAATTGTCTTGTTTACACAATTATGTCATTACTGAACACATTTAGGGAACAATAAAAACAACAAAATATATACTTACATAGCCTATGTGCACCAATCTCCTTATGCATTCACTTCCATTTAGGCAAGTGTAAGATGTCACAAGAGCAAGCAGAATGGGAAAATTGGCCAGATGCCAGGGAGCCAAGAGGATCCCTTCCCTGTCCTAGTGAAAATGCTTTTGCATGGCCAGAAAATGGTGCTGTCCAGTAATTGATGTAGTTCTGAAGCGTGTAGCTGTGAGTTTGTTTGCATGCTGAGAATAATATATATGCTTCTATTCAATCCATGAGTCTGTATGTTTATTGATTTATTTCCAGTTGCTCTTCAACAAAAATGAGCAGGCATGAAAAGCCCTAGAAGTATGCTACTGTTCAGAGTGAAAATCTATGTTTGATATATACTGTATTTGATAAACCAGATAAATAACAAATATTATTTTCCTACAGCTCCACTTCTCTTTTATGCTGAGGTACCAACAGCAATTGTCAGCTGTGTATCCCTACAGGACTCATACCTCTTTTTCAATGTGTGTTATATACAAATAGAGACACAGTCTCACAGCCTGCTCTCAGCCATCTGAAATACAATGCCAAACTATCATACATTTTGGGCTGATTCAGAAAAATGGGTGTGGGGTCTAAACCCTGTAGACATATTTTTGGTCTCACTGCTCTCTGTTAACCTGGTAAAACCTGTGTCTTGCTCTGGTCACTTTCTGCTATCAAATACCTATTTCCTGCCTTCTAGGTAACATACACAGAGTAGAGATCGAAGCATAGTGGCAGAGTAAAACCAGTCATTTAGGAAAATAATTTCAGAAACCTGATTTGATCCTATTTACATGGTCTTTATCTGGAATACTGAGACCCACATCATATTTCCAGATTTTAGACTCTAGACAAAAGTTGTGCTCTGAACTATTCATTAACCCAAATAAGCACAGTTTACTTTAGATCTGGTCAATTACACAATTACTTCTATGATGTCAAAAACTTCCAGACAGTAAAACATAAAAAACATATTTATTTTATTTTTCATTTTATAATTACTCGCAGTTGGGACTTTTTTTATTTCACAAATGCACTATTTGGATTTATATTATATAAATATATAAATATATATTTATATTATAATATCATAATATTATAAATATTTGGATTATATTTTCAGATCCAGATCACAATTTTTCAGTCTGTGTTACTAGTGTAAAATTGTCAATTTGGATAATTTAAGTGAAATTCTGCCACCTCGTGGCAACTGAGATGCCATAGTCAGAGCTCCTCTCCTCTCATGGCTAATGAAATGTTTGTCGTGCAGTATCTAGCTATTCGTTTTTAATAAAATAAGATGACTTTATGTATTTTTTTCAAATCAGTTATTAACCTGAAAGAATATCGCACTTGCTGTACAACTTGCCTTCATGAGAATCTTACTATTTACTATAAAACTATAATGGTCACTGTAAAAGCCACATTTTTAAAAGGCTCCTCTAGAGGACTCTTCTTGTACTCCATTTTATTGGTTGAATCAATCCATGGTCATCTTGCCCATTCTCTGTTTCTTGTAAGAATGCAAAAAGTAATCAGTTATGCTATACCTTAGATGTATTAAGACAAAGATCCTTTTGTTCAAAAAAGATCTGCAGAATTGTACTTGCTGTTTTAAAAGGATAAGGCAGAAAGGACTCTCCATTTAAATGATAGTTCAATAAAAACAAAAGTAGGAATATTAATGTAAAAGACATTACTAAGTTATTTAATCAATCTGCAACAATTAGAAATAATTCTATATGTATTAACCAAGCTAAGTAATGATAAATAAGACGCTATGACTCTTCTTGAACATGAGCAGCTCTCTGAGAAAAAGAACCCACTTTGTTATATCTGGTGTCACTGTGTGATTTTCAGTTCACAGCTGCAGTGCTTTGTTTACAAGCATGGAAGTGGTGTGTTTTAAATGTTTTTTATGCAGAGCAAATGCATACAATCCTTTTGGATTTTTTTGCTGTTGTTGTTTTTGTTCTTGAATTGCAAAGAGCAGTAATATCTCATGTGTCTAATTTGAAGACTCAGCTATGTCTTGGCCAGAGATATGTTTTTACCAGCTGTTCTCCACTGGTGAACGGATTCTTGAGGTGTGCAAAATTAATTAAATTTGTACATTAATTACATTTGGCCAGTTTGGGGTTAGTGAATTGCCTGTGTGAAATAGAGTGACACAGGTCTTGGAAAGCTGTCAGGGTGAATCAGTCTAGAAAAACAAACCTAAGGATCTTTCTTTATACCTTCATTTGCCTGGAGAATGGTAGATCAGCTTGTTCCTTAACATATCTCAGAACTGTCTTGGGGTTTTGTGGCTTGCCTTGACAGCAAATTGCCTTTTAACACTGCTCCAAGTCAGAAATATTACCCTTACTGTGCCTGATGTCAATGTGCTCATACTGCTAGGCCAGAATATTGCTGAAAACTGGCTTCCTACACATGGTTTGCAGTAAAATCTATGTAGTGAAGCCTTTTCTGTTTCATCAAACTGGGCAGATGACTTATGATTTCAAAGTCTGTAGTTTCCAGGTCAGATGTTTTCCCTACTAAATGCAGTTTCCAAATGATAAAGCTTCTATTACATCCTATAGGATGTTCACTATAGGAAATTTCACAAAATCATAGAACTGTTTGTGTTGGAAAGGACCTTAAGGGTTATTTTATTCCAATTCCTTTGACATGGTCAGGGACAGCTTCCACTAGAGGTTTGTTTCTGTTTGCTTGAAAAGAAATTAGCATGCAGAAATAGGTTCTGTAATTCCATGTTCCCAACAGCTCACAAACAGAAGTGACCAGATCAGTAGTTTCTCTCATCTGTACTTTATTGTGCCAGGCAAGGAGCTCCAGAAGACACAATGGTTGATATGGTTTGTGTACACCATATTATTTATCTGTCAAGAGTAAAGGCAGAGGAATTGTATTTGAACCAGATGATTAATTCAGTAATCTTGTCCCTCCTCAGAGCAGACAGACAAGGCTAATATCTGGTCCATGATGTTTGTCCCTGATGTTACACAAGCCTATTATTGTAGAAACTTTTTACTACAGTTGTTTCCACTTCTTTAAAATAGAGCACCCCTGGAATATTCACAAGAGAAACAGGAAATTGTTTTTTGTTTTCATTTGTGCAAGTAATTTCTCAAGGCCTAGATAGGGGGAGAGATAACTTGAAGAAAGAGGAACAACAGATTAAAGAGAAATCCTTCTGACTACTTGTGTTACATGGCAAATTTGAAAAGAGCATGTAAATTTAATATCTGCAGAATAAGATTTGTGCATGACCCACTACAGTTAATTCTTTCTTATCTAATGCTCTGAAATATTTGTAATATCTTTCTGTGCTTTTGGCCTCCTCTAACAATAACCTCCATAATGGAATAACCTTTTTTAGACCCCTCTCTTTCTGATTCTCACCTCTGTGTCTCTTGCAAACTTTATGCCAAAATTCTTGGGGGGAGGGAAGTGCTTTTAACTTACCTATGCATTGTTAAATGGAAAATCTTTATTTGTGTGCTACAGCTTCAATCAGCTATCGGCCACCCACCAGAAGAAGCACCTTTTAATCCATATGTGTTGCAAAGGAACAGAGGTCTTGCAGGAGCAGAAAAAGGTAGGCAGAGTAATATATATATATCATTAATGCAATTTTCTTCCTTATGGAAGAGCATTTTCTCAATCCTTATTTCTTTTTTCTTGCATATATTTCACATTCTGTCATGCATTGGTATAGCCACTATCATAACTGAAGCCTGGGAGCTGAAGATAACAGGTGTCACCATCTATAACAAAAATCATTTAGCAGAAACCCCTTTTTCCATTTTGCATTGTAGTATTATTACCTGGATTCTAAAAACTAAATCCTTACATGTCACAAAAAATTGTGCCCTCTTGCATCCACAGTGGCAAGCATAATGTAGATAGTTGACAGTCACAAGTTGGATGCCTAAGAAAGGAGTACTTATAAGGCAGCATTCTGGGTAAAGAATTGTGTGAGGTAACTAATGGAAAGTACCAAGGAGAAGGGCCAAACTTTAACCCTCCTTTTGTCAAGGTTTCACCCTGCACAAATGTTCAGTAGTTACAGCATGTCACCAGGGGAATGCCACTGCCTTTTTGTCAACTCTAAAATGCATATAGATGGACTGCATATGGTTTCTTTATAGTGCCCTTGCAAGTCAAACTCACTGATGGTCTTGAACATAGAAAAGATGATTATATTATCTGTGGCAGCAAACATGTTTGAAATCATGTCTAATTTTTTCATTGTTTGAACTGCAGGTGATCAGAGAGAGGCCTTACCCATGGATACTGAGGTCTATGAAAGTCCATATGCTGATCCAGATGAAATTAAACCAAAAAATGTCACTCTTGACAGGAAATTGTTGACTTTGGAGGAAGGTGAACTTGGCTCTGGCAACTTTGGTACTGTAAAGAAAGGATTCTATAAGATGAAAAAGTGAGTGTTGCCTTCTATTGTCATGGAATCCAATATGTAAAAGCTCTTGTGTTTATCCTTTCAAGTAGTAGTAGTTTTTGCGTGTCATTTGGGGTGACAGACTATAACTAATTTGAGCTAAATTCACCAGTTTCTCTCTTTGTATGTACACTTACACACTCATTTTTGTCATAAAGTGGAAAGTACTGTTTATGACTATTTCCTCTCCTGATGGGATTAGTAGAGTGGGAATCCCACTGCCTTGCTTCATAGCTTGCAAAAGTTCTAATGCTACACAGTATTTCCCATCTGCACAACATATCTGTCAGAAAACCTGGAGAGTGCCATGGACAGTTTACCTATAGCAAAGAGAGTTTTACCTGAAGTGTGATAAATACATTTCCTGGAGCTGGAATGTTGATTTCAAGAAGACAGAACGTGTTGTAACATTTTCCATCATGTCATGTCAGTAGGAACAGACCCTGTTTATACTTGAGTCTTCATGCATTTTCATAGTGAAATGTTATCAGCATGCTGTATGTGCATGGATTGATTATGTACACACTCTCATCTCTTGAAGTTGGAGGCATTTCTTTAACTGAGGTTTTCAGAGGCAGAAAGTATTTCTGTTTTTCCAATATAGGATGTAGGAATGTGAAGGGCTCTGATCTCAGCTTATGTATATTTTAATAGTGTTTCACACCTGAGCTATGTTGGTCTCATCAGTCACTCTGTCAGTTTGCTGTATGAATGGAAGGCTGCAGAAGTAAGCTTTAGATTCTCAGGGTTTCAGGGCCCTGCCTTGGCACCTGGCAGTGCTGCATATTCCAGTCTCACCCCACTAAAAACCCTAGTGCTTAGAAAGCTCTATAGCTTTTCTTGCCAGAAGAGCTTTATGCTATCCTAGCCAGAGTGGACAAGAAAATTTTATCCAGTATCTATTTTTTTCAGGCTTCTTTAGGTATTTTTATGACAATATGTAAATTTCACAGATTCTTTTCATTATCGCTCTTTTGCTTAGCTGTCTTCTGAGTATTTGATAGAGAGATGTTCGTGTTAGGGCTGTTTTTTTCTCATCTGAGTGTCAATTCTGTCTTTTGTTACAATTTATACTATGTGAATGGAAATATCTATTGAAGATTGTGTTCGTTGGTGCACAGATTTTTCAGCAACTAGATCCAGAACTGGATTCTCTTTTGCAGGGGTGCCAAACCTGTGGCTGTAAAAATTCTGAAGAATGAGAGTAATGATCCAGCTATAAAGGATGAGTTACTGAGAGAAGCAAATGTAATGCAGCAACTGGATAACCCATACATTGTCCGAATGATAGGTATATGTGAAGCTGAGGCCTGGATGTTAGTAATGGAAATGGCTGAACTTGGGCCATTGAACAAATTTTTGCAAAAAAATAGGTATGTAAACTTTGATTTAATTCCATAAGAATGGAAAAGTTCCTTTCTTTTATTTTTTTTTCTTTAAGGACAATTATAATTAATATGTTATTGATGTAGTAATTAATGATTGTAGTTATTCTTCACTGGAAGATGTCTCCAAATGTCAAATATTTCTTCCAAAATAGAGTATTTTGAATAAATGAAAGACTTTTCACATATCCTTCAACTTCTCCTTTATTGATGTGATCACACATCATCTTCTCAGGACAAGAGCCTAGATTGCCTTTTCAAACTGAAGCTTAGCTAAATGTAAGTGAATCAGGTTTCCAGTGTAATGTGGACAAGTTTAGAGTATAGATTTATATATTTTCCATGAAAATGAACTACTGACCTCCTTAAAATTCAATTTTGATTTTCAGACATGTCACAGAGAAGAATATAACAGAGCTGGTGCATCAGGTTTCCATGGGGATGAAATATCTGGAGGAGAATAATTTTGTTCATAGGGATTTGGCTGCAAGAAATGTGCTGTTAGTCACACAACATTATGCCAAAATTAGTGACTTTGGACTTTCTAAAGCTCTTAGTGCTGATGAAAATTATTACAAGGTAAGGTCTGAATACAACATGAAAATTGTGTAGTATCATAACTTAATAAGGATATTTTCAGTTCAAATGCAGTTGAAAATTAGACATTTTATGTACCATTCATTATTTTATAATCTGATATTAGATTACCAAATTCAAAATATGTGATCAACATTAAGAAACATGTAGGGAAGAAAAAGGCTGTTCCCCCTTCCAGTTGTCTACTTTCATTTATTTTTTATAAACTTGTCATTAGAAGAATGAAAGTTATTGTGGAAATGAAATACTACCTTATCTACATGAGGAAAAATGCTTTTTTTGCAAAACAGTTCTCATCACATCCAAGTAAAATGTAGCCTAGCACTAATACACTGTCTTACAGAACAGAATCAAGAGAGGTTTTTGAAATAATACCATTGTTAAATAAGAAATTAACCTAAGCAAAATTTGTTTATTTGGGTTTTAAATTCTTTGGACCTCTGTACACCTCAAGTGATTAAAATAATTGCAATATCTAATAACATAAAAGGTGGGATACAAAGTTATCATGTCTGTATTTGTTTTCCTAATATAACACTCTTGTGATTCAAATTACATCTTCCTTTTCCTTATTCTCTTTTATTAGCTTTTTGAAATTAAAAATACAACCCCTGAAACACTGCAGAGGAGAAGCAAGCCCATGCTCCATTGTGATGACCTTCCTGTGTAGGAACAGTAGTCACTGCTGCCAGAAAATTTATCCTAAATCACTGCCACTAGCCTGCCCTAGCTGGTCAATCCTAGCCTCAGGGCCTCCAGAATTAGTATCAAAGTCCATTTTCTTTACAACTCCACAGGATGCAGTAGCATCCTGTCACTAGACCTAGCACTGCGCTGGTATAGCTTGACAGCTGAATGGTCACAAAGCAGCATTATGGCATAATTTAGGTAAACTGCAGTTTGCCACAAGAAAGTCACTGTGCTTTGAAGTAGAGCACTCACTTCAACCATCTGGACATGTCTCTTAGCCTTGGTGAGATCCAAATGGAAAAAACTGATTCCAAAGAGCAACTTTAAATTAAATGCCACTGAAAGTGTGACTCTAAGTCATTTAGCTACACTTTTATTCACCAAAGATTTCATTTCAATGCATTATTTTGAATGTGGAAGATTAGAACAATTTTGTGACACTTTTGAAGAAGCTGTTACCCATTTTCTCTAATGTTAACTGCATCAGAAATGTTATGGTACTTAGTGCAAATGTGTGTAGATCTAAGTTAATGTTAATTATGTGCATTCAGATGTTGTTTACTACTTATCATTGTATCTAGTCTGCTTTTATTTCTTTCTGTTATGACATATTTTAGGCACAAAGTCATGGAAAATGGCCAGTCAAATGGTATGCTCCAGAATGCATGAATTTCTACAAATTTTCTAGCAAAAGTGATGTCTGGAGCTTTGGGGTTTTAATGTGGGAAGCTTTCTCTTATGGACAAAAACCATATAAGGTGAGTGGTTTTATTTGGCTATGTTTTTTCTTTAAAAATTCAGAGCAGATTTGAACCAGTATCTTGTCCTAACTAATGCAACAAATGAGTCAAAGGATAGCCCAAAAATCAGTTCCAGACCTCTGTTCAATTTGTGCTATCATGTGTGCTGTAATCATTTGCACTTGGATGACTGTTCTGGTCACTCTGTTCCAGGGAATGAAAGGTGGTGAAGTTGCACAGATGATTGAAAGGGGAGAACGAATGGAACGACCTGAAGTCTGCCCAACAGAAGTCTACAGTCTAATGAAATTGTGTTGGACATACAAGTGAGTGTGATGGGATGCTCTTTTGATAGAAGTACATTTTCATTTACAGGAATCATAGCCAGTATGGGGGTGAGTAGGGGTTGCTTCAAAATACATCTTTTCAGCTGGGGTTTAGCTTACAACTGTACTCCAAGCTCAGTATTCAATTGCACTTTCAGGTGAAAACTGAGTTATAGAGTGTACTACAAAAACCCAGTTTTGTAGAACAGAGTTTGCCAGAACAGTTATATACAAAATACAGGGTAGCATAAAAATAAGTACACAAAAAGGTCATTCTAATGAATTTTGAAAACAATGTTTGAAAGTAAGCAAAAATTTTTGTTTCATTTTGAATTGCAATTCATTTAATTTTTATTTCCAAGGCTTTAGTTTTACTGAAATTTCAAACTCATATTGCCAAAATGTTTATTCTATTTCTCAATATTTAATTGTTTTGAGTTGTTTATCTCTAATAACAGAATATATTCAAACTGGATCCCACACTGACATCTTATCAGTGAGAGGCAAACCATTTTTTCAGGTCATACCTGATACATCAGAAACATTTTTTTCTGTTTTATAACCATTTAGAAATTAGAATTATGAAATATAGAAAAAAATAAAGCCTTCCTGTTTCTTTTTTTTTAATTAGTATATTAGAACTCTTCTATGATTTATTATTTTAAACTATTCCACTGAAGTTACTGTAGGAAGTCTCCAGAAAGTACCCAAAATTACTGTAATATCACTTATTCTTCCTGTTCACCATTTGGAGAAAAAATTTGCCAAAAGTTCTACATTAAGGAGCACTAGTACTTCATTTTTAGGTACCTTGCTTCTTTGTTAGCCTCATTAAACCTCATATTTTGGAAAGAACATAAAACCAAAAAGTAATTCCTGCCTTTTGGTTTGACTCAAGGAATGCTGTAACAGTTCTACAGTGAAAGGGGTGAGGTTTTGTTGTTATTAACAAACATATCATAAAGCATGCTGATTATTTTTTTTTTTGTACTAAAGTATCTTTATTATTAGAAAGAAAATAAATTTTAAAAAGAAGGTTCAGGTTAGGCAGAGTAACTATCTCAATATGTCATGTGAAATTTTAAGGGTTTGTTGTCAGTTTAATCATATTCTCCAAATAAAGAAACAATTGCAGATATAAAAGAAAGATGATACAGTCATATAGTGTGCAGGTAGGTGCCTCTTCATGCTTCTGTCTGATGGTACTACCCATTATAAGGCAGATATTACACAGCAAATATTCTTTTCTCCAGATTATTACCAAAGTAAATGAAGTAGAAAATGAAATGGAGCTGATTCACCATTTCTTTCTGCTAGTACCTTCACCAACCACAAAGTAACAGGCATGATAGTAAATCCATGGACTGGATGCTCTGTAGTAGTATTTATCCCTTGGTATTAATTTTGTAGTGTCATTTTTAAAATATTGTGAGCATCTTTACGTGAACTGTCACTGAGGTAGAGTCTGGAGGGCTGTAAGGCCCATGAACCTTGACAGGTCTGTCCTTGCTATGCAGTGACACTTGTCATCTTCCCACAGCGTTGACGACCGGCCAGGATTTGCTGCAGTCGAGATGAGATTACGTAACTACTACTACGACATTTCCCACTAACAGTGTGGAGAACAGCAGCTTCCTCGTCTCCAGCCAGCACCCTCTGAGAAGCAGCTCATTTTCCAAAACCAAGCAACCTCAATTTTTGTACTTCCATTTTCAACTTGCAAAGCTCAGAGCTGAGCCTTGCATCTGTAAGGTTGTTTTTTCTTACCTTCTGCACAAAATCCAGCCCCGAAAGAGTTTTGGAAGTGTAACAGTCTCAAAGTGCACAGCAAGGATAAAATGCTTGTATTTCTGCTACATTCCATTTCATTTTATTTACAGCTTTATTTGCATTATATTTTGCAGTCCTGTAAACTCTATTTAATGACTCTGAGCCCTCTTTCTCTCCTATATTGGAATGCAGATTGGAATTTAAATTCTCATCAACATTCTTAACCTTTACATGTATTTAGTTGTTCCAGCTTTCCCTTTCCTCAAGGAAGAATAGCATAAACATTTCCCACTATGAAGCAAATTCACTGTACAAGTGTGTCAGATGCTTTGACTGACAGTGTGTTTGATTTTATCACCAAACCCCTTTACACCAAATCATATTATTCCTAGTAGTAAAGTAAGCAGAGGGGATTTGGGAGTTCTGACTTTCTAATATCATCACATCTTCTAAATGTGGCCATCTTCTTTTGTTTCTCATATTTTCTTTTGTTCCTCAGCCCAGCTGTTCCTCAGGGAGTTTTTTTTCCCTAGTGAAAACTGGAAACTTGATCTCATCTTAGAAGAAAACATACCTGCCTGTAAGATGATTCTATATTTTAACATAAGCTCCAGCATTGAATTCCTGAAAATACACCTATAATGGAGCAGCACTTACCTTTCTCTGTGCTCTTCCATTCTTCTCCAGACATATTTCTTCTATGTATCTATTTGGGTATACCATATCTTCTTCTGTTCTGTTTTGAACAGCAATCATTTCTATCTTTTCTTCAAACCTTTCTTTAAAAAGCATGTGAGAATTCCGCCACACTTTTTCACCTCTAAAGTTAAATTTCACATCTAGTTCAAATATTTTATAGTGGGCATACAGACAACAAGATTACCTGCTACAAAATCTTAGTATTTGTCATGTGGGACAAATCTCTGTGGGCATCTCAGGAAAAGGCATTTGTCTTTTCACTCTTCTGTAATGTAGTGTGCATATTAGAAGTATAGTAGATTAATAACAAATGAGGTAATCAATTTCTGATTCTTTTTTTACTCTTATGCTTTTCTTGCTCAACCTCATTTGAAATATTATCAGTAGCAACATTTCTATCACTTATTACTCGCAAGCAGCTATTTTATTGTCATTTGCATACATCTCAGGAATCTGCTTACATTTTGTCTGCTAGATATAGAGATTTAAGAAGAATATAAAGAATAAGATTTAGAGCTAGATATATTTATGGTATTGGCTGGCTAGAGTATATGTGTTTAATTTTTGTGTGAACAGAGTATTCTTAGAGATGCAGTGGTTTGGTTTTTTTTTTTCTTCTAGTAATTAAATTGTGTGAGCAATTAAACTGAGAAAGGGTGAAATAATTTTCATAGAAGACAGGACTATAAACAAATGTAGAAGCTACTGATTTTTTTTTCTTTTTTACTAAGTTTACAGTCTATTTGTTAAATAATATCTGGTGCCTTTTGGTAGTTTAGTCTTGGCTATCCAGTGCAAGGCATCACAGGCTATTGGAAGATACTGAGAATAGTAGACTGTATTTCAAATGTGAGCAAACATGACTTACCTTGAAGATGATTTAATTTTTATTTTGTTTTTAAGAAACATTTTTCTATAAGACCAGCTCATGCAGAAGTTAGCCATAGTTATACACAGGTGTTTGTCACTTTAGTTATGTTGCAGAGAACTTATTATCTCTACATGTGCAATTAGTACAGTTATGGGGATATTAGTTATAAACAAATTGCACAAATCTCTATGAACCAGCGAGTGACGGTTCTCAGTTTTCCAGAATGAGAGATATATTGATCTCTATCTCTCACTCTCTTTAAAAGTGATGTCTGATACCACAAACCTGGAGGATTGTTTCTTCTCTTCTGAGTGAATGTCAACATCACTTTCTGGAGTTACTTGATTATTTTTAACTTCACTATTACATAATAAAAGTTTACAATGAGAATATAAAGTATCATGAAATAAATGGATTAGGTTTTAAAATTTTAATTAAAGATACTTTTACAAAATATGCTGTCTTAACAAGAATCCTTTCATAATTACATGCTCTGTAAAAAATCCTGGTGCTGTTGCAGTGGGTATATGTATTGATTTTCTGTGATTGTTGTGGAAGACTGAGATTTTCTCCTGACAGTGAAAGGTACCCACCAGGACAGGACACTGAAGCTTGGGCTGCTTTTGGAGCTATTCAGGAACAGCAGGAAATTCCCAAAATATGCACATTGTTGTTGCACCTAAGTCTTTTCAAAGTGATTTACAACAATAGTGTGCTGAATCTGGAAGGTTAGAGATGCCAGGAGTCAGTGCAGTGTATCAGCTAGCCAAGAATTTCTGCCTTACAGATGTCAGCTTTGCAGGATTTAGGTCACAATATATGACATGGAGCCTCCCTCAGATGCAGACAGCTGCTCTAGGAATTCTAAAATAAAAACAGCAACATCTTAGTCTTTCATTTAGCTTTTTTTGCATGCTCAGATTCTCAGGAAAGCTAAGAATAGATGAGTGTGAATGTGAATTTGAATAATAAAAAAGAAAGGTGGAACGGTAGACAACTCTTCAAGCAGCTACTTACCTTTGTGAGGGATCAGTCAGTGACTGACTGACTGTCCTTTTTGGATGCTTTCCTGCATAGCAGCTCTGGCCTGATTGCTGCACCTTCCCACTTGTGGGGCTGCACCATCCACTGCCATGAAGGGACTTCTCTTTTGGCTACCTGGATCTGGTAGTCTATCTTTAGATTGACTTGTCTCAGAAATGCCACTTGGTGGTGTAACCTTACAGATGATTGTCATGACAGAGTTGGAGGGCAGAAAACTGCAGTATTTAGTCTGGGAGGCTGGTGGAAATGAAGGACTAGGTGTTAACATGCTAAGAGGGTTTTTCACTGGAGGAAAACTGGTGTATTATAACCTTTCTATATGCAAAGGTGTATTTACACCTTTGGTCAGGAATCAAATTTACAAAATCAGGGAGTGTGACTTTGAAGTATGGAAAGCATGTGGCTTTTTCCATAAAGACACACCCAAACATCTTAGAAGCCCTAGTCGTTGCTTCTAACACTGTGCAAAAAGAGAGTTTTTAATCAGACAGTGAGAAATACCCATAATTTTCACCCCTTAAATCGACACAGTCAGCCCTGCCAGTTTGCCAAGCAGCCTGGCCTGCACAGCCAGGTCGTGCACCAAGTGTGTCCTCACCCCAGCCCTGCCAGGAGGTGGCAATGCCTGAACACGGTTGGAGTGGAGCACTTGTCTGGCCATTCCTGGCACTCTGTACTCTGCCCCGGCTGTGGCTGTGCCTGCGTGTTACAGAGGACACACTCTGCTCCTTGCTGTGAAGCAATGTTGCATGTGAAGAGGAATCATCATTTATTTATATGGTGAATAGTCAGCTGTGGGTGATTAACAAAGACTTCTGAGACTCGGTGTCCCCTTGTCTTTTAAGTGATCACAGCAATGAGGGATTGCATGCGGAAAGATACAGACTACACCCCACGCATGCCTAGAAGGGAGTGAGGGTGACATATGGATTGAATAATATAGGGAAACATTAAGCAAGCAGTTGTAATTACCAGCCTGAAGTTTAGTGAGGGCAGACGCAAGAAAACTTGAAGACTATAAGGCATGTAGAAGAAGAAATAAAAATAGATTCCTGTTTAAAAAACAGTCAAGAGAGATGTAAGACAAATCCTGAGAACAGTCCTCCAATCACTCAGAGCTCCCTGAAGCCAAGCTAGAGCTATGCATCTATGTCCAAATAAGTATTTTATTCTTTTCTGTCATGTATGTGATAATTGAGACAAAGACCCACTGGGTTCCTTGGCATATAATTAACTCTGCATGGAGTATAATGACTGCTTCCCTGAGGCAGTGGAGGTGTGCACATTCTTGATAACCAGAGAAGAGAGGAAACAAGTGGCAGCTGGGAAAAGCATTACACTACTGTCCATTAAAATTCATTATTTCAAATGTAAATAGTCCCTGGATGACCAGTCCAGTGTAAATGTGCAGAGATCATTAACTCCCCTTGTCTATCCACCATTTCAAATGCCTTTAAATGTCACGTCAAGAAACTGTTAGGTCTTGCTTAACTGTGTCAAAGTGCTTATGGGGGAATGCCATTGCCATGCACCTGCAGCCACACTGCCCATGTAGAACACTCCACGTGTCAGAAATTCATTCAGCTGAGTGCCAGGCTCCCTGTGCCTCTGCCATGTTAGAAATGCAACACATTTCTGCAACGACAGAAAAAGATAGGAAAAAATTTGCAAAGAATTGTTCAATGACAATGTCCTGTTCCACTGCCACCTGCCAGTGGCTGCATTAACATCAATATCTGTTCTTTCTACTTCCTGCTTTAATAAAGAGAAATTGTGCCAGTTTCAGCAACAGCAAGACTGTAATTGCACGGCTGAGCAGCAGAACAGGTAGCAGAGAACTTTAATAGCTGTCTTGAACAGCTTGAAGACTTCCCCTTAAAAATATTACAGATTTATGCATATATGCAAATATTTCTTGTCATTATTTCATACTTGAATTCAATAATGATTTGTTTCTCCATTCTTGCTGCACAACCATTGTAGCTGTATCTTCATGTCTTGTTCTAATTTATGTGCAGATTTCACCAGTGTTGCCAAAAGACCTCTCTGGCTGGTTTATCAGGTTCCACCTCCAGTAATCTGAGGCTGAGACCAGCTGGCAAGAATTAATAATGTTGGTTTTCAGTGATAGTTCTAGAAGATAACAAGAAAACTTGTTATCTTGTCAGATAACAAGGAGATAGCTGCGGGGAGCATGAATACATGAAGAAATTCATGAGAGGTACAAGCTCACTGAGCTTGTTAAAGAGCAGCACTTTGGGGTGTTTTTCCCTCTACTTTGGAGCATATGTAAATTGACTGTTTGGCTAGGTTTGATGTTCCTTTTTCCAAAAGATACATATTTAGAGTCAATATTTCCTTAATTTTCTTCAGTAACAACGCATGTTTATACCCATAGTTACCCATAACCTAGATTATCAATATCATTTTGTTTCAGAAAGATATCCTCTATTGCCAGTAAATGCCCAGTAAACTGGGCTGTTTCTATGCATGAGGTATACACATTGCACTCAGGAGCCACCTCATTTTTTGCACACTTCTAATGCACTAGAGCACAAAATCTTTTTTTTTTTTTCTTCTTTTTCTTCTGTAAATGTGTTGTTGACTCGGTTATGGATCTGTCATGGATATCTTTGGGTATTTAAGAATTGTATATTCACTGGTATTACTGCTTCCCCGGGGGCATGAAGCAGAGAGG